ATATTATCGCGAAAATATTCTGGAGGGTGTATTAAAGCCTTGGGCACGCAAACATTTTGGCTGCAGACCTTGGGCATTCCAACACCCAAGAATGGTTACAAAATGAGATTCCTCGCTTCATTTCCAGCGCACAATGGCCACCAAAATCTCCGGATACCAATCTGTTGGACTGGAGTATTTTGGAAAGCAAGGTTGGCACTAAAAAATACCATAGTGTCGATCACCTCAAGCAAGCGTTTCGCCGGGGAATGGCCAAAATACCGCAGAGCAACATTCGGGCAGCGTGTGTGGTTTTATTGGTCGTTTAAAGGCGATAATTCGCACCAAAGGTGACCAATTCGAAAAAATCTAAACTTATTCTAAAATTTGATGTTATTTCCGACATCTTTTGCTTTCATTCAATAAAATTAAAAAAAAAATGTAAAAATTATGGAGTTTGATTTTTTTGCAGTTTTTTTATCTCACCCTGTATCTGACTAGTTAAGACTTCAATATGAGACCCGTATATGGTATTTCACATAAGAAAGACCTTTATAAGATCTTCTATCTATATCATTTCTGTATGAGGTCTTTCAGTCCCATAGGATACTTCTGTACCCTGTATTGAGCTTTCTATCCATAGGAGACCTGCAAGACGTTATTTTATCTATAGAATATCTGTATGTGGTCTTATATTTATGGGAGATGTCCATAAGGTATCCAATATATAGAAGACCTGTATAATATTTTCTAGCTGTACGAGACGTACATAAAACCTACTATAAATATGAGAGCTTTATAACGTCTTCTAACTAAAACCAGTAAAGAAAGCCTTAAAGTCGGGCGGGACCGACTTAATGATACCCTACACCACTTTGCTAATTTAGTAGAGCTGCGCATAACAATTAAAAGTTTTTATGGGAGAATTCAGTTATACACGCTATGATTATAATTATAATTTAAGGTTCAAGGGACTAAATATGTCGAAGCATTTGTATCTTTTAAATTCGGACTTGTATTGCCCATTTGGTGTACAATTAATTTAAAATCGGATAAAGATATATATGGGAGCTATATCCAATTCGGAACCGATCTCGATAGAATTTGACAAAGATATTTCTGAGCTGTATTTGATATATTTCCCTGAATATCGTCGTTACGGAGTGCATATTACGGCTGTGGGTAACAAATATAACAAATCGGATGAACAATATATATGGGAGCTATAGCTATATCTGAACCGATCTTCACCAAATTTGACATACTAGCTTCTAGACTCAATTCGGTCGTAAGTGCCAAATTCCATCCCATTTAGACAAATATTAGACGTTTGGTGCACAATAAAAGATAAATCGGACGAAATTATATATGGGAGCTATATCCAAATCTGAACCGATCTCGATAAAATTTAGCAAAGACATTTCTGAGCTATGTTTGAAATATTTCCCCAAATATTGTTGTTGCAGAGTACATATTACGGCTGCGGAGGACAAAAATAATAAATCGGATGAACAATATATATGGGAGCTATAGCTATATCTGAACCGATTTCGATCAAATTTGGCATACTTATTTTTAGGCCAAATTTGGATGTATATGCAAAATTCCATTCTATTCGGGCTGATATTACACGTTTGGTGCACAATAAAAGGCAAATCGGACGAAGATATATATGGGAGCTATGTCTAAATTTTGACCGATTATCTCCAATTTCAATAGGGTTCGTCTTTGGGCCAAGCAAATGATCTATGCAAATTTTCGTCTGTATCGGGCAATAAATGCGACCTGTACTTTGTTTACAAAAATACATGCAGATCATCAAAAGGAACTATGGGTCTATTTCGTTTCCTTTTGCCTGTTACAAACAAATGCACAAAGACATAATACCCTGACCACCTTGTGGTGTAGGATATAAAAAGGGTTGTGTAGGCCTTTCGTATGTAGGAAAACTGTCTTAGGTTATCTATCTATAGGAGATCTTCTATTATTTGGAACTTTGTTAAGGGGCTTCTGCTTTTACAAAGTTATATAAGGATTCCTATCACAGTAGATTTCTATAAAGTCCCATATCTGTAAATGTCTTCTTTAAGGACGTCTATCTTTTGAAGGCCCATGTGAGGTATTTATCTATAAAAGACCTCTATAATAAATTCGATCACTTAAATTTTATCTGTCTGTCAATGTTCTGTAAATAGTAGTTCTATTTTTTTAAAAGGAAAGAAGAAACCTATATAAAATTTACTACACAAGGCTTTTTCAAGATCTGCATAATACTTTTCAAATTTCAAGTTCATAGAAAAATCCTCATTTCAAAACATTGCAATGTTCACACACACATACACACTAAATATATATACACATAACAGTATATTTAGATCCACACGTATTTAGCATGCAATAAGTATTCCTTATTGTCTACACACCAGCTCGCCTGACCGTCTATGCAATTCATTGCGATTATCTTACAAATGCTGTCACTTTGTGTAGGGCCATAGTTTCCACAATAAACCATCACTTGGCATGAGTATCTATCTGTCGGTTGTAAGTAGCTGTTAGTTTCTTTTTTCTCTCGCTTTCGCTTCTTCTGAAATTTGTTGGCTAAAAGCCAAAATAAAAACAATTGTAAATATCTCATAGTCAATACGCTCACAGCTCACAGCTGACACGAGACACACAACCACTTGCCGTGGAGCGGTGGCTAGAACCACAAAGTATTATTTATTCAAATGTTCAAATGTAAAATGCACCTCTTGGATATTGGATAACAAGCAATTTACACCACAATGGTGTATGGCCGGCCAGACCCGATCCATACACCAGACCAGACAGGCGTGAATGATGTGAGGACCTATTAGTCGAAGCAATTTAAATAAAATATAAGTATTGTAAAATTATTTGTTTGTTCTAATTGAAATATTATGTCAGTGGGAAGGGTATTCCAGTTTTAATGGGGTGTTTAATTATATTATGTCTTTGTGAAGGAAGCGAGATAGACCCATAGTTACTTTTGAGGATCTTTATAGAATCACTTTCTGAGTCGAAAAGTAAAGAAGCGTCTGCAGCATCGCAGTGGCCGAAAAATGGCTCGTGAGCTGAACATATCGCAATATTCCATTTGGCAAATATTGAAAAATGAGCTGGGGGTAAAGCCATTGAAATTCCAAAAAGTTAAAGAACTTACACCGACCGCAAAAGAAAGAAAATAGACTCAAAAGAGCTAAAGAGTTGCTTCGCTTTGCCGAAAGTGGTAAACTGCCGAATTTGGTTTTCTCCGATGAGAAAACATTCGTTGTCCAGCAGTTTGCAAACAAACAAAATGATCGTGTTTACTTGCCAAAGTGGTCAGGTGAAATTGTGCACCTTCGGTTGGCCACCAGACCTCAAGCGACAGCCGATGGTCGCTCTCCGGTCGTATTAATCGACCGTGACATTAGAATAAATGCTGAATATAATCGCAAAAGTATTCTGGGGCGTGAATTCAAGCTTTGGGCACGCAAACATTTTGGCCGCAGACCTTGGGAATTCCAACAGGACTCAGCACTCAGCACGCGCCACACAAGAAGTTTGGCACTAAAAACTACCAAAGTGTCGATCACCTCAAGCAAGCGCTTCGCCGGGAATGGATCAAAATACCGTGGCATCAGAATAAATGTCGAATATTATCGCGAAAGTATTCTGGGGGGTGTATTAAAGCCTTGGGCACGCAAACATTTTGGCCGCAGACCTTGGACATTCCAACAGGACTCAGCAGCATCGCACTCAGCACGCGCCTCCCAAGAAGTTTGGCACTAAAAACTACCAAAGTGTCGATCACCTCAAGCAAGCGCTTCGCTGGGAATGGACCAAAATACCGCAGAGCAATATTCGGGCAGCATGTGACGGTTTCATTTGCCGTTTGAAGGCCATAATTCGTGCAAAAGGTGACCAATTTGAACAAACCTTCTAAAATTTGATGCTATTTCCGACATTTTTTGCTTTCATTCAATAAAATTAAAAAAAAATGTAAAAATAAATTATGGCGTTTGACTTTGTTGAAGTTTATTTATCTCACCCTGTATATCAATTTACCTGGATTTTGGCACATCCGACCGACTACAACCTTGAAGCAAGTACATCAAATTTGGACAAAATCGGTTCAGATATATCTATAGCTCTCATATATATGTTTCATCCGATTTAATCGTACCATACGTTCGTAATAATACGTGCATCCCCCAAGAATGATATTTGGTACCAGATATCAGATATAGCGCAGAAATACCTCTGCCAAATTGTATCAAGATCGGTTAAGATTTGTATATGGTATATGGTATATTGTATACGATATATCAGTCGAAATGATCTGAATTTTTAGATTTTAGAAGCAAGTACATTAAATTTGGTGAAAATCGTTTCAGATATAGTTTTAGCTCGCATATATATGTTTCAACCGATTTGGTGCTTATGTCCCTCACATTCGTAATATGCACTCCACAAGAATGATATTTGGTACCAGATATCTTATAGAGCCCGGAAATACCTTTGCCAATTTTATCAAGATGGCTAAGATTGGCTTATAGCTCCCACATATATCCTTAATCCGATTTCAGGTATATTGTGCAGTGAATTTCGGGACGTACGTTTCCATTTGATGAAATTCAGCTCCGATATATATTATTTTAATATAATCCTTCTCGAAGTGATATCATACACTCTATGGCAATGTTTTTTTTTTTTTTTTTGGTATAAAAGATAAAAATGTCTCTGTCAAATTTAGTGAAAATCGATTCAGAATAAGATATGCCTCCTATTCTCTCTGAAACCAAATTATAACTGCTCTAAAGCCAAATGTTGATAGGTGGTATGATCTACTTCAAATAAATTCTTTTGTTACGGAAGCTCTACTAAATATGCATAGTGGTGTAGGGTATCCTCACCGTTTTTCTTTTGCATTTAAACGGGTTTTTACCTTTTACAGGGTCAAAATCGTTATTTATTTCCTACAATAGGAAATTGGACCAAAAAGGTATTGCTCAACTTACCAGATATGCTTTCTCGCCTTCCCTCGTTTGTCTGAACTAAAACTTTGCCGAAATCTTTTCAAGAGTTGCAGTTCAAAGCCGACCTTTTAAAATGTCATTGATGTTATTTCAGAAAGCCGAAATTGTTTAAGGAAGCCAAATTATTGTAGAGAGGTTAAAAGATTTTGAGGTCAGCATGTGGATAGACCTGAAAAGAGATAAAAGTTTTTGTTGTAGCATTAAAAAGAAATATTTTTTAGAAAAAAAAGAAAAAAAATATTCGCAAAAAAGAAGGCTAGGGACGAACCTTTCCAAAGGGGGCTTTTGGAAGCATTATTTCCTGCAGATTACCCGATTGTGGAAAGCTTCACAAAATCTATATTTGGAATATTGATACAATTTCAATGTGTCGTGATGAGGAATGAATGAATTCTGGCAGTAAATGTCATCGCGTAGTTTCTTTAAAATTCATTTAGTCTTTTACCCAAAACAAACTAAAAAAAAATATTATCATGTTAAGAAAACATTTTCTATATGAAAATAAAATTGAGAAATAAATCCCCAATCTCTGAGCTAATAAATGCCCCTATAAACCGTACACCTGCCTCAATGAAAAAAAAATAATAATTTTAATTACAATGGGTAATTTGTTTTGTTTTTGTTTTCATTTTTTTTTTGGCAAATTATTAAAAATGGCACGCGCCTCATGCCTAATTTGTTCCGACTTACAGAACAAACATGGGGTGGCTAACCGCTAGACAGACCATAATGGTAGTCACACAGTCTGTCTGACTGTTTGTCTGTCTGTTTGTTTGTGTATCAAGCAAACACTGTCAAACTATGACGGTGAATATGTTGTGGGCGACAGACCCCACATTGAAGTCTTAACGAAAAGAAAAGCAACAAACAAACAAGCCCAGCCATATATATCCACCAAGTAATGCACGAACAAAAATGGAAATTGTGTCCCGCCACCTTATTCTCCTTTTCCGCTATCAGCAGAATGAGGGGATTTATCACTGCAGAATAATACCCTTTTATGGTAGTCACTGCTTCTTTTCAACACTACATAAAATAATTCTTCGCCGTTATGATAGCGTTGTTCTTTAATACATGGTGGAGGTCTTTTATTCTGCATTTAATGTCATACTTGCATTGGAATTTTATCAAAGTATTTAGGGGATTGAGGAAATGCGGGTTGGTAGTGTTCATTGGTAGTAATCATTATTCTTTAATATAAAGATTACGATTTTATTTTTTCTCATTTACTATTTGCAGATTACGGTTGTTGAACCCGTGATCTATACAAATGACATCGGCTCATCTACTCCACATTAGATGGCCACAGAGCTTATCTGCTCCACAGTAGATGACCACAGAGCTCATCTACTCCACAGTAGATGCCCACAGAGCTCATCTACTCCACAGTAGATGACCGCAAATCACATCTGCTCCCCAGTAGATGAAAGCAGGGATCAGTTTACTCTACAGTATGCGTAGATTTTTATACCCTCAACGATATGGCTAGAAGGGTATATATCAAAATGGGCATAGTCGAAATAACGGTTTTAGACCCTAGGTCTCTTTGGACCAAATCCGTTTCAGGACATTTGGAGTCGATCTAGCGATGTCCGTCCGTCTGTCGGTCTGGCTGGTGTGCACGATAACTCTCGAAGTGAGTATACGATTTGGTCCAAACTTGGTACATCGTAATATTTTTGTCCAACTTATATCGAGTTCGGAGATAGGAAATATCGGTCCACTCCTTGTGATACCTCCCCTACAAATGGTCGAAATCCTCACAAAATATATTTGTGAGCACAGAAACAGAAACGATAATCAGATTTTGCTCCAACTTTGCAAATCCTAATATTTGCGTCAGTGCTAGGCCAGGTGCGAAAACGGACAATATTGTTCCACTCCATCAAGTGCTATAATTATAATTTTTATAAAATGTGATGTTAGAGTCCGATTGTCTTCAAATTTCACACATCCCAATATTTTTATTAACCCAAGGTCTGGCGTTAAGATGGAATATATCGATCCACTCCTTCTGATAACACCCCCAAAAAGGTCGCAATTAAAAAAATATATATTTTTTTCTGCACAGAAGGAAAAGCGATAATCCGATTGTGCTCCAACTTTGAAAATCCTAATATTTGCGTCAGTTCTAGATCTGGTGCTAAAACGGATAGTATTGGTCCACTCCATCAAGTAATTCCCCACAGAGGGTAAACATTTTGAATAATTATATTGTCTTTAAGTTATACAGATCACAATATTTTTATTAACCCACGGTATAGTGTGAAAATGGTCCACTCCTTCTGGAACCTCCCCCCACAAAGAGTCAACATTTTGAATAACCAAAATGATAACAAATCCGAAATAAGCATCCGGTTCCCTTAATATTTCACAAATCCCATTATTTCTACTAACACAAGATCTTCTCTGAAGATGGGGTACATCACTCCTCCTTCTTTTGGAGACGCCATCATCAGGCCATGGCGTGGATTTTTAAAGAATTTTTGGGGACCCCTTCCTCTGGCCAAGGCGTGGTTTTTTAAAGAATTTTTGGAGGCCCCTTTATCAGCCCAAGGCGTGGATTTTTATAGAATTTTTGGAGGCCTCTTCCTCTGGCAAAGGCATGCATTTTTAAAATAATTTTTGGAGGCCCCTTCCTCTGGCCAAGGCATGGATTTATAAAGAATTTTTGAAGGCCTCTTCCTCTGGCCAAGGCATGGATTTTTAAAGATTTTTTGAAGACCTCTTCCCCTGACAAATGCATGGATTTTTTAAGAATTTTTGAAAGTCTCTTCCTCTGGCCAAGAATTTTTAAAGGTCTCTTTTAAGGAATTTTTTAAGTTCTATTCCTCTGGCCAAGGCATGGATTTTTGAAGAACTTTTGGGGGCCTCTTCATCAGGCCAAGGCTTGGATTTTTAAAGAATTTTTGTAGGCCTTTTCCTCCTTCCGTGACGTAGATTTTCAAACAATTTTTGTAGGATTTTTCTGCTGCCTAAGGCGTAGGTTTTTAAATAATAAACATTTTGGAGCTCCATGTAGCAGGTTTTTTAAGAATTTCTCATCTACTCTACGAAATATGGTGCATGAGTTCATCTATATTAAAATATAGGTATTTTAGCTCATATACTCTATCTGCAGTAAATATACAATGTTTTCCTATATTATCGGTTAATTATACCAAATTTCACAAAATCAGCAGTTAAATATGGCTCAAACGTAAACGGTCCCATCTTTTAATAATTCCAAAGGTTGTTGCACAGTTTTTATTTCTGAACTCGAAGCATAAATATCAAGGCTAAAGGACATATCTCAAATGATTCAAAATAAATAAAAAACTGCAACTCTTTCACGAAATTTGTAATAAAAAGAAAATTATTCGAAAACAATCAACAGAAGTGTGCACACTTTTATGACACACTATGTAGCTGCATACATACAAACACTTGCACACACCAATAAATATGTATGTAACTGAATGAATGACTGAACAAACGACAAATCATAATTTTTGAAAACCAGTCACGCACACGCATTTAAATTTCAGGCCTTTGGGTGGAAACAGAAATTGTATTTTATGAGCTTTGTTTGCTACTTCCATCCAACCACCCCTGCAGCTCTCTCCTCCTTCGCCTACTTCATAAATCTAAATGTAAGGACTTTGTTCTCTGCTTTTCGTTGTTGTTTTTAGTTTTGGCGGGACATATCCACAAATGCATTATGTTCCTGTGGCATGCAATATTTTATGTAAATATTAACAGTTTCTTTTTTGGTTTTATTTTATTTTTATGAATGAAGTGCCTGGAAAATTTTAACACTGGTCTTGAAATCACCCCCACGACAACTTATGGGTGTGTGCTTGGAATATCCTCGTATTAAAAATGAATGCGGTAAGTGAATATATTTTATACTCAGAAATATATTTTACCCTGAATTAAAGTACTGAACACATTTCCAAAAAAAAAATCCATCTTATAGAAGAATATGGGGTTTTGAATTACTTTTTGGTTTAACAAATTGAAGAGTTTTAGTCGGTTTTGCCGACAGATGTGTACTCTCATCCAATGTTCGATTATTTAACAATATTTTGACTTTTGTTATAATTATTCAAATATTTGACCCTCTATGGAGTAGGTTCCGATCGAATGTACAAATATGGTTCATTTCGTGTAGGACCTTCACTTTATATGAGATATGTGATAATTTTTACAAAATGTAAAAAATGTGCATGAGGTAAAATATATAGTGGACCTCAGCCGTATAGTTACAGAGGGTATATATCATTTTATACGGCCAAAACGTGCCTCATCGAAATTCTAGATTTTAGACCCTACATCTATTTGAACCAAATACATTTCGGAGGATTTGGAGCGAATCCGAGGTTTTCCGCCTGACTGGCTGGCGCCGAAGATAACTATCGAAGGGAGCATCCCATTTAATCCGAACATGGTACATCGTAATATTATTATTATTATATCAGTCCACTCCTTCTGATACCTCCGCCATAAAAAATTCAACAATTTTACAGAAAATAACTAACCTTTTAGAACAAAAATGATCCTCCAATTTTGTGCAAACTTTGCCAGTCCTAACAGTTTTTTCAGGTGCGAAAATTGACATTACCAGCCCATGCCATCAAGTACACTCCACACATACAAAGGAAAAAAATATGAATTATTATAACCCTTGTAAAGTATGAAATAAGTGTCTGATATACATTTCAATGTTTCTACCAACACAATATCTGACATGAAGATCGGAAAGAACGGTCTACTCTGTCTCCCCAATTTTAAATAAACATAAAGCTTACAAAACGAGTGGTGAGCATCGGACTCCTTTCATGCTCCGCCCATCCGATAATTGACAACAAATATTTGATTTACTATTACTAATCCAGATTGCATAAAAAAATTGACTTCTTTCCTAAAAAAATGCTTTTTGAAATCAACAACAATTTGTTTCGCGCCCCATAGCGGCTGTCTAACTCTGACATACGATTACACACACAGCGCGGTGTCAAAGATGGTAGATATAATTTGACAGCTATAATTTGTTATCACTTAAATAGACATATTAATAAATAGAATAAACAAAACAAAGGCACGAATAACATAAGCAACCGCTTAACGTTGCAGCAATTGCCCATTTGACGGGTTGGTAGGTGGGAACGGAAAAAGTGGTACTAAATG